AGAATAAAAAGAAAATCTGCAATGTAAAACGATTTCAATGAACTAATCTTCATTGTTCCACAGTGGTATTTAGCTTCTGAGCAAAATAGCAAGGAAACAGATAAAAATACCTATACACAATATTCTTTCTGTAAGCAAGAAGAATATTATAAACAAGCACCAGATCAAAAAAAAATAAATGCAAGAAATCTATTAGGTTTGCCATTAGATGTGATTGTGTTCAAGCCAATATAAAATGATGGGGTAAAAAAAAAATGAAATTTTTCCAACAGATATCAGGGGAAGCCCATTTGGTTGAACTTTTCAAATGCCAATAAATGTCCATTTTGCTTTGAACTATTTTATTTCCCCAAAGATGTCCTCAAATTTGGCTTGGGCTTATAGAATGCCGTAAGAACCACGGCATATAAGATTTTTCTGGATCTAAATTTTCCGTTAGTTCTTCCTCCATGTATCATCTTGTGTATTGAGAATCATTTACGCAAGCAAAACCAGCCTTGTCGTAGAAATAAATGTAGTTCTCAGTCCAGACTGTGCAAGTGAAGTGAGGGGTTCAGCGTCCATTTGAACCCATGTGATTGGATGTAGGACTGCTCCTCAGGTTCTTCTCTTCTGTCTAATGGTGTAGGTTCTGTATATAATGGTTATAATTGGTTTGTATTTGGCCATCTCTGTTCTCAGTTCGGTTGAAGAGTCTATGTATATAGAACTATGCAAGACCGTATAATTCTATTTAGTGTAATTTAGTCAGTTTCAGGTGGAAGTTTCCAACTTTAACACCCGTTTGCTTGCAAACAAGAATCTTTTTCACCTTTTGTTGTTCACTGTCAGGCACTGTTATTCACCTGAAAAGCTTGTAGAATTGTGCAAATTATAATCAGATTGCACAACGTTGCCTCTTAAATTATAAAGGCCGGTCAGATGCTAGGTGTTTTTTGTATGAGATTTCCCATTGAAGTGGCCATGTTACGGTACTATACAAGAATTACACTAATGTTGTTTTGGTCTATATTTTGTAATGCTTGTTTGTTTTATTCTTTTCACATTCTGAATAACGTTGAGTGCCTTGGCAGATATTGAGTGTGGACAGAACTGATTTATGCTTTTCATTGTACGTTAACACTGACATTGGAGTGGAGGTTGAATAGTGGCTACAATATTCTTTTAAGTAGGTATTTCCTAGATATTCCTCTAAATTGCCTGAGGCTTTTTCACTTAGTCTAATGTCCAAGAAAAAATCTGTGCTTACAAATGAAAACTGATGAAGATGCTTAATTGTAAATATATGCAGCTGGGTTCCTACTTTGCATTAACCATAAAGTTGGTTTGGCTTTGCTTTCAGAACCCATTTATTGTGGTCAGTAAGCCATCATTTATGACATATTGCGCTGTGCAAATGCAGCCACTTAAGGTTCATTCAATAAACCATAATTGAGCCAGCAATGGCTCGATGCAATATGTGAACTCAATTTTATATTATGTTATATATTATGAGAGGAAGGGAGGACAGCTTGG